GGTATTGGTTATTGGGGTCACAGTTGTTGGAGTGATGGTTTTGGGGGGGTTATTGGGGGTTTTGTTATTGGGGTTGTGGTTATTGGGATCGTGGCTATTGAGGGTATTGTTTTGGGGGGTTGTCAGTTATTGGGGTCGTGGTTATTGGGGCTATCAGTTATCAAAGTCACAGATATGGGGGGGCTGTAGGTTATCGGGGTCACGGTTATTGGAGTCATGGCTTTGGGGTTATCGGTGATTGGGGTCGTGGTTATTGAGGGTTTTGTTATTGGGGTCGTGGTCATTGGGGCTATTGGTTATTGGGGTCGTGGTCATTGGGGCTATTGGTTATTGGGGTCATGGTTATTGGGGTAACAGTTATTAGAGCCACAGCTATTAGGGGGATAGGTTATTGGGGTAGAGGTTATTGGGTCATGGTTAATGGGACACAGCGTCATGGTTTTGGGGGGTCATAGTGATTGGGGTGTCCGTTATTGGGGTCACGGTGACGGGGTGTATTGTTTTGGGGGGTTATTGGTTCCGGGGGGGTAGCAGTTAATGGAGTCACAGGTATCGGGGTGTAGGTTACTGGGGGTGGCGGATATTGGGATCGGGAGGCACGGTTTTGGGGTTTCGTGGTTCTTGGGTATTGGTTTGGGAATTGCAGGTTATTGGGGTCACGGTTATGGGGAATTGGCTTTTGGGGACACGTGCACCCCCACCCCGCCCCGCCGGGCTCTGACGTTTCCCGTTAATCACGGGAATGGAAAATCACCCGCGCTTCTCCCATTTCCCTCTCCAGGAAGGCCGGGGGGAAGGGCAGCTCTGTGGGGCGGCCCCATTCCGGATGACACGCGATGAGCCTGGCGTGTCCCCAAGTGTCACATGAGGCCGTTGGAGGAGCTCCATCCCGATGGGGTCGGGTGGATCCCGTGTGATCCTACGGGCGTCAGTCTGAGGGATGCGGCTCCTCCGTCTGCTCCCTGAGCTCAGCGCCCGCCCTATAAGTGGTGGCCTCTGCTTTGGGATGGGGGCAGACGCAATAAGGCATTGTGAGAGGTAACCACGGGCTGCGTGACGAAGAAAATCCCATTAGCGAACCCCAAAGCCCAACCAACGGGTAGGGTTTGGCTCCTCCACCTTCTGCTGGTGGTGCTGACCCCATAGGAATCACCCCCAGAGATGCTGTGCTTTGGGGGCCGGCCATATAGATCCTAAACAGGTGGATATCTGTGGGTTTGGCACAGCAAGAAGCCCTCAGATCTATGGGGTGGGTTCATCCCTCATTCATCCCTCAGATCTGTGGGTTTATCACTCAGATCTGTGGGTTCATCGCTCAGATCTAGGGGTTCATCCCTCAAATCTGTGGGTCTATCACTCAGATCTATGGGTTCATCGCTCAGATTTATGGGTTCATTGCTCAGATTTATGGGTTCATCGCTCAGATCTGTGGGTTCATCGCTCAGATCTATGGGTTTATCGCTCAGATCTATGGGTTCATCCCTCAAATCTCTGGGTTCATCGCTCAGATTTATGGATTCATCCCTCAAATCTGTGGGTTCATCGCTCAGATTTATGGGTTCATCGCTCAGATCTGTGGGTTTATCACTCAGATCTATGGGTTCATCACTCAGA